AATTGGGTTATTTTTCTTTTTCTTCTAGAGATTTTGTAATTTCCTATATATTTTAGAAATGAGTTGCTTGTTTGATGTGTCATTGTCAGGATACTGTTGTCAAGTGTCATAGAGTCACTTCCAATGCATAGCTACCCTGCATAGGGTTTTTGAGGAACGACTGTTGGATTTGAACTGCTGACCTTGTGATTTGCAGTCCAAAATTTATCCTTCAACTCCACACCAGGATTCTGTTCAGGAGACTGGGATAGGTGAATTTGTAAGATAAATATTTTCTTATAAAAGGTTCCTAATGATACCATAATTTCCCACCATGTATTCCAGTACATCTGAGAAAGGTAGTTAATTTTAATTGTTTATCTTTTGCCCTCTAGAGAATGGTAAAAAAAAACTGTCTCTAGGGTTCATGTTCAAGATTGTCAATACAAATATAAGAATATATATACTTCACTCCCAACTAAGTTTTCCAGAGGCAGGTCAGGCCTTCCCTTTGCCATTGCAAAGTTGTTTAAGACTGGAAATACACAAAATTAATGTTAAAGTATCTAGGAAACAACTTGAAAGTGGAAAGACTTACCTTTTAGAACTACAGATTTCTTGTGGAACACTGAACCTCTGCAAAGTGTACTTACCTGCATATGCAAGGAACCTTTACCCAGAGCTTTGCATAGAAACTCCACTCATCAAAGCTACATAATAATAGTGCCTTAGAAGACAACCTTGGTGTGACATTGTAGGTAGAATAAGCACTGGCCTGCCAAGTACAAATCAAACTCTCTAGTGGGACACCAGGAGCAGGTTTGCTGTGAGTCAGAACTGACTTGAAGGTATACAAGATGACAGGTACCTTAGTTGTAGTAATAGTGAAACTCTGAAAGTTTTGAGAATGTATATTTTCTCACCTTTGTACATTTTTGGAGTAGTTGTCAACTAAAATACACAAATATTTAAACACAATGGAGATTGGATATAATATTCAGTTCAAATAATCTGTCTACATAATATCTATATCTATCTATCTATCTATCTATCTATCTATCTATCTATCTATCTATCTATCTATCTATCTTATTTGGCTTTAGTTAAGACCACAAGGCATAAAACAGGAAACACATGTGGCCCTGAAGTTAGAAGAACAATCAAATGGGAGAAAAATATAGGTAAGAAAATTTTAGCTACTCTATCTCCTGGTCTAAAAGAGAAAATAACCTTATCATCAATTAATATTTGGGACATAAAGTAGCTGTTGCATTAAAGACATAGATTAAGTTAAAAGCAAATGTCCAAAGCACTTTAAAAAATACAGTGTTAAGAAAAAAATGTGCTAATTAGAATGACTAGTTGTGTAATGAATAGTTTTTAAAGGCTATTTTTAAGACTCAAATGTATAGAGGAATATTATAGGGCCAGTCTAATACACGACCTTTTAACTTTATTTCTGAACGTCTGAAAAGCTTTTTGCAGTGTTTTAGAAACAGAGATAGCCTTTCCAGAAACCATAGACGGAGAGTTTTCTAGTATGATGAGATCTAAGAGGTATTGCTAAAGAACAAACAGATCTGTGTTGGAAGAAGTGCAGCCAGAGGGTTCCTTGGAGGCCAGAATGGCCAACCTTCATCTCTCATACTTTGGACATATTGTCAGGATGGACCAGTCACTGGAGAAGGATATCATGTTTGGTAAAGTAGAGGGTCAGAGAAAAAGAGGAAGATCCCCCCTCCCCGCAGCGAGATGGATTGGCAAAGTGGCAATATCAATGGCCTCAAGCATAGCTACAATAGGTTGGCCCAGGACTGGACAGTGTTTCGTTCTTTTGTACAAAGTGTCACTATGAGTTGGTACTGACTCAATAACACCTAACAACAACAACAACAACCACAAGAGTTACCAGGCTTCAGTTCCAGAAATAAAATGATTCCTTTGTACTGCTGTTTTCTTATGAAATGATTTCACTGTGCACCACAGCTACTGCATATTTTAAATCTTTTGATATGCATAATCCAGGGACAGAATGAATATCCTAGGTGTCTTGAAGAATAAGAAGTGAGTTAGAGAAACACTGGGAAGGAAATTTGTAAACTGTAGTCTTTAGTTATTTGTGGTGTGAAAATATATCTAAATCTCATTCTCCCGAGTTTTATTTAGATGCATTTCTAAGTCATCTCTGTGGCATATAAAAGTGTAATTGGAATATTCCCCCAAATTTTAGTCTCTCTAGTTTGCTTGTGTTTTCTCAGGTGTTTTTGAGTTAGTTACTACTCATAAAGACTCTGTAGGGTTCCAAGAAGCTGTGGATGGGTTTAAACTGCCAACCTTCTTCTTGTCAATCTAGTGCTCTTTTTCTATACCAGGACTCAGTATTAATAGATAGGCCTATAAAATAGATTAGTGTGTAGATTAGAGAAATGGATACATGATAAAGGTTCACAGACTAATCTTCATTGGCTAAGGAAAGTTTAACATTTCTTCTGACTCCTATTATACCATGTTTAGAATAAGGATGTAGTCTTTTGTGTGTGTGTGTATCTATCTATCTATCTGTCTATCTATCTATCTATCTATCTATCTATCTATCTATCTATCTATCTATCTACAGATATGTGTGTGTGTGTGTTTGTGTACATAATCAGTGAGGAGGAATTGGAATTTAAAACTCCCTGAATTGAAGAACACACACACACACAAATGTTGTCAACTTGGAATCATTGAAATTCCATGGGTGTCAGAATAGAACTGTGTTCCATAAAGTTTCACTGACAAATATTTCACAAAATCATTTTTCAAAAGAATTTCTATGTGCATTGGAACCTCCAACTTGGATTTAGCAATCAAATGTATTAACAATTGTCACCACCCAGGCCATTAAAAGTAATTCAGATGTAATTTGATATCAGATTTCTTACACTAAAAAGAAACAGAAAGAAAAAAGTATTATAGGAAAATAAAAAGTATTAGAGGGAATTAACAAAGAATGCAGATGGGAAGGGTTAAGACTGTTCATTCTTTATGCCATAGTGAACACATATGATGTAACAAATAAAATAATTTAGAGATTTCTCATTTTTTTTTATTAACTGTGGAGCTGACATAATCTGTCATTGCCTCAGGTTAAGCATGTCTGTTATGAGTTTATAACGTTCAATAATAACTGAATGTGTTATGTGAGAATTCAACTTATAATTACCATATAATTCCTAAATGTTTTTTTTTTATTTGTAAATACTAAAAATTAGCACTGAGATCTTAAAAAAAATCATTTAAATGTTTTAATTGGTTTTGCTTATGAACAGTTAAAGAAAAAAAGATAACCACATTTTGAATTATTGTTTGTTTTACATTTTTTAGCCTTTTATTGTGAACTAATTGGACTTTGAAAGAATAGTTTTACATTCAATAACAAGTGCACATTTAGTTTCATTTCAATGATTATTAATCCCACAATGTAATATCACTAATCCCACTTTCTCTTATTTCCTGTTTCTCTTGCCACTTCTTTCCTCAACAGTTTAATAATGGTGGCCTGGGGAAAATGCTCCCTTTCAGATTCATGTGGTTTATTATTCTAAGATGTGAATTCCTTAGAAATTTAGCAGATCTTAAGATACATTAAATTAACAGAAATTCTGGTCACATGCTAAGAGTCTGAACCAAATTGGCTCTGGTAGTGTAGTGGTTACGAATCGGGCTGCGAACCTTAAGGTCAGTGGTTCGAAACTACCAGCCGCTCTGCGGGAGAAAGATGAGGCTTTCTACTCCCGTAAGGATTTACACCCTCGGAAACCCTGTACAGGGTCGCTATGGGTCGGCTCCGACTCGAAGGCACTTAACAACAACAACAATAATAACAATGGAGTCCTGGTGTGGAACTGCAGGTTAATGCTCCAGACTGCAAAGCCTTTTGAAAGACAAGGGTGGCAGGCAGCTTAAGCTCACCAGCTGCTCCTCAGAAACCCTATACAGGGTTACTATGGGTTGGAAACAACTTGATGTCACTTAACAACAACAACAACAACTAATAAACAAATAAAGATATTCCAAAAGAGGTATTTGTTCCTATCTTGTTAAGGGTTAGTTGACCAGATTTCCTATTTCATCACTCTCTTTAATATTTTATTTCTAATATCCAGGACTGATTTAAAAACTTCAACAAACTGAAGTCATGCTACTGTCAGAGAGAAATACAAGTGGAGCCACATTCACCCTTTTGGGCTTCTCAGATTACCCAGAATTACAAGTTCCCTTCTTCTTGGTATTTCTGGCCATCTACAGTGTCACTGTTGTAGGGAATCTTGGGATGATTGTGATCATAAAAATTAACCCCAAACTGCATACCCCCATGTACTTTTTCCTCAGTCACCTTTCCTTTGTGGACTTCTGCTATTCGTCCATCATTGTTCCCAAAATGCTCGTGAACTTAATTGTAGAAGACAGAACCATTTCAATTTTAGGATGTTTATTGCAGTTCTTTTTCTTTTGTACATTTGTGGTGACTGAATCTTTTTTATTAGCTGTAATGGCCTATGACCGTTTTGTGGCCATTTGCAATCCTCTGCTCTACACAGCTGCAATGTCCCAGAAACTCTGTGCTCTACTGGTGGTCGGATCATATGTATGGGGAATAGCATGCTCTCTGATACTCACATGCTCTGCTTTGAAATTATCCTTTCGGGGTTTCAACATTATCAATCACTTTTTCTGTGAGTTCTCCTCACTTCTCTCCCTTTCTTGGTCAGATACCTATCTTAACCAGTTACTGCTTTTTATCTTTGCCACTTTCAATGAGGTGAGTACATTACTCATCATTCTCACCTCTTATGTATTCATCATTGTTACCATCTTGAAAATGCATTCAGCCAGTGGACGTCGGAAAGCATTTTCTACCTGTGCCTCTCACGTGACCGCCATTACCATCTTCCACGGCACCATCCTCTTCCTCTACTGTGTGCCCAATTCCAAAAACTCTAGGCAAACAGTCAAAGTTGCCTCTGTGTTTTACACAGTTGTGATCCCCATGTTGAATCCCCTGATCTACAGTCTGAGAAATAAAGATGTCAAGAATACGGTCAGCAAGATAATGCACATTAAATTCTTTTCTCATTAAGCATATTATTTTAGTAGATTTTGTCTCTACCTTTTACATAAAGTATGCTGAAAGAGTGTGTTTACAAAGATACCTTCAAATATTGATAGTTAATATTGCACAATGGTAAAATGTGGATGTTGGTTTTAAGATATTAAAGTTGACTTTGTCTTTAAATTATAGGAAAGGATAAACAATCTCTGTCTTCTTTAGTTCTAAATATCTGAAACTGTAATAGTGTGGATGTATAACTTAATAGTGAAGACCAAAAGACAACTTAAATACCATGTGGGACACCTTGCATAATCTAAATAAAAGTTAATTTCATCGCCTTTCTTATTAAATGCCAGGAGTACCGTTGGTTCTTAATAAATACATATTTGTTTATAATGTTTCTCTTACAAATCTACAAATGGCAGTAAAAATAAATAGTAGATCTTACCTCAAAAAATGCATAATCTATTGGTAATGGTGGTGGTGGTATGTACTTTGGAATAGGTTCAGACTCATAGCATCCTAAACTTATAAATCTCTATATACACTAAAATCCTCATCTTTCTCCCAAGGAGGGGCTGGTAGATTTGAACTGCTGACCTTATTGTTAGCACTCAAACATCTAACCCACTAGACTACCAGAGCTCTTCAATATAGTGATTGGCAATAAAGAAAATGATTATTGTGTAAGGTTGACGATAATAAGTATCATAGTAGGCCTATGTCAAGGAATAATTCAAATCCATTTAGGGACATTAGAAATATGTATTCATAAGAGATGTATTATTTGAAGTCAAGTTGTAGAATAGGAAATATTTTAGGAGGCATCTTTGGGTGTACAAGATGTTTTATTCTAGGAGAATACAGAATGAATAGACTCAAGAAATCAGAATGCAATATTGAGTCTGCCAATTTTTAATTGACTGACTACTGTATGATTGTGTGTTTGTGAGCATATGTATGTATGTGTTTTTTTAATATGCAACTTACTTTAGCATAAATTCAAAACTGAATTAATATTGTCAATAAATATGTTCTATATAATAAACATCTTTCTAATGAGCTCCCATTTGAGAAAATGATAAACTTGACAGGATGTACCCAAGGCTTAGAAATGAATCTCAGAAAACTAGTATGTGAAAAAACAGGGTAATGAATGCCTGTTCAATCTGTTTCATGATAATATTTTGCCCACCCAGGTAAATAAAAAAGTACTTCAAAAAATAATAGGAATATTTATCAAATGAAAAGTTGAAAATGTGAAGTTACGGCTTCTTGACTTATCTTCTATCTATAGCTATACAATTCTGAATATGATCTTTCCACCTCCCTAAACATTCCTTGGAGAATTCTGCACTCTTCTATTTACATCATGTCAGAGCAGCAGTGTTAGCATCCTCAGTGAACTCAAACTGTGTAACTTTTAAATGTACTTTGAAATTTAGGGGAAAAAAGAAGACTGAAGGGACAAGATCAGAACTGTAAGGTTGTAAAATTTCCTAACAAAATTCTCATAAGACAGCCAATACTACTCTTGATAGTATTGCTTCTAGCCATATGGGTAATCAATCTCCTTTAATGAGAAATATATTTGATTTTTATAAAAAGCAACTTGGGAAAAGATGATTTCCTTGTGTGGTAGAAGTGACAAAACCAACTTAACTTTTATTCTAATGAAATCGAGACCTATATATTCCAATTAACTTGGTTAAAATTACAAAGCCAACTAATAACAGAATCAGAACAATCCTTCAAGATTCCAGTCAAACTGACAAATACCTTCTCTTGTAGATACTGGCTACAATACTAACATTATTTCATCAGTTTTACATTCAACAAAGCATACACCATGTTTCATTGCAATGATTATAATCCCCTCCATGTGCCATCAGTTAGCAGTATTTCTCTCTATTGACTTTAGCTTTAAAAAAACAACAGCAACAACAATAACAAAAACTCAGGCATATATAATAATTTACATCTCCAAAGGGCACATTCTGCAAGTCTGCCTCCTGGCCACTAGCTCTTAGTCCCTCACTTCCCATGAATCTAGAGTCCTCAGCCGCTCCCCTCACCATGACCCCATCTCTGACTCTGTCTCTGGCATCGCTGCTTCTCTGAATAAGATCCTGCATTCTGCTTGTGCTCTTCTCCCTTTATGGTCCTAGGGTCCTCTGTTTCTGGACTGTAAGATTAACCACTCCGTTGTTTTTGTTACAAATCTTCTACCTTTACAATTTTGACTGTCGCAATTAGTCATTGTAACAATTATTCACTGTTGAATCATACAAATATTATCCCCATCTCTTTTCACCAGACCCATCTAGACAAGATGAAAACTTTTCAGTGGGAACTCTTTCTTTCCCCCCATACTCATAAGCTAAATTCCTTCTTGAAACCTTGTAAGCCAGTCACATTGTGCCTTTATCGCCCCCTCATTTTAGGAAGCCAATATCTAAGTTGCTAACCTCTATCTAACTTGTGTACAAAGGAGATAGCATTAATACTTGATGTGAATACTCTTTCCCTCTCTGTTGGTATTTATAGTTACTACCTCCATGAGTAAAGGTCAGGTTCATCAAATTGTAGCAATTTACCCTTGTTTCCTTTACAAAAATAAATAAATAAATAAATCTTCCTCTAGTCGGATTCTGATTATCAAGCCATCGAGGCTAGGTCAAATGGATACTGTCTGTAAGTTTGAGTGTTCTTGTGCATCTCCCCTCACTTCATATCAGCTGGATGCTTCATTCTCAGCTCTAGCCCATGCCCTTGTCCAAGGGCTCAAGTGTCCCCAGGTCTCACCACACTTTGGACCAACCAGCTCTTCCTCTTCTCTCTCTCATCTCCAGGTCAACAGAAGTCAATGGACTGTGGTTGAACTCAGTCCATTTCTTCATTGCTGCATTTCCCCCTCTTCCACTCACCAGTAGACCAATGTGGTCACCAGCAAGCTTACATGCCTGTTTGTGTGTTCCCTTTGAGTTTCAGTCTTAGAGGGGAGTTTGTCCTGAAGGAACTTGATTGCTAGCCTTGATGGCTTCTGGGTGAACAGCTTGGTTATTCTTGTAGTAGCCAGTCATGCTGACATTTTTGTTTGGGGTTTTTCCTGATGATTTTTCTTTGAAGATGTATTTTCTGTCACTCTAGCTGTACCAGGCTGGTAGTTGTCCTTGCTAATGGGGAAGCCCCACCTCAGAAAATTCTGGATGGGACTCAGTATTCCACCTAAGGTCCTATACTCTGCAATGCTTTGCAAGAGTCCTATTTCACTGGACAAATTCTAGAACCCCTTTTTAGGTATTCCAATCAGTTATAAATTGAAGATGGACTTACAAAATTTCTCTAATCATCTTTCCCAACATTCCTTTCTATCCTACTCAAGTGTCTATTTTACAATAGTAGGCAAGGGAAACCAATATTCATAAGACAGCTAAGCATTTTAGTATTATTTCCCTTCTTCAAGCAATGCCTAGATCCCTTATCATAGAGTCGTGTTGTTCCAAGTTTGAGCATGCATCACTATTTACCTCTGTCCCATTTAGGCCATGCAAACCTGTCTCAGTGTTCCCCCATCTATCTCGTACTTCTGTCTCCTCCCCCTCCTTGCATTGCCCTCCCCAACACCTGAACTAAACCCCCCACCCCAACCCTACTGTTGTGGTTACCTTATATTCCATTAACTCTTCCCTCCACTTAAGACAGTCTATTTTATCTTGTAATCTACATGCCCTTCCCACGACCTGGATCTCTGTTCCTCTGTGTTTATCTTTCACATTGTAATTGTTTTGATCATAGACTACCTCTTAGATCCTCTGTTCTTATATTATGTTCTTGCCTCTTCCATTTGTCGATTAAGTTCAGGGTGATGCTGCCATGTACGTCATTCTGTTAGTTGTTGTCTGTTCTT